GGTCACAGGGCCCGCCCCCACCGGCACACAGAGAGACACGCCCACTCCAGTGCAGTCCCCCTTTTACTGGGCAACTTTCAATACCCGGCAGGCGCCAAGAATCCATGAGCCACCCTTACTACTCAGTGACAGAGGAAGGGACCTTGCCACCAACGGCTGGCAGTCACTTAGGGATGCAGGACGGCAACTACAGCCACCAAGTGACACTTTCGTCCTTCGCTCCCCACCGGAGCAAACACTCCGCTCCACTTCCACGCAAAAATTTGGGAATCTCCGCTGAGCCATCAAATAGGGGGAGAAGAGGGCTTCCTGTTTTCAATAATCATCCGAGACCAGCAGTGGCGAGCCTATGGTACACGTACCACAGCAACCTGTATCATCGAAAGCTTTAAAAGGTGCACCATCGCTGTCCGAGATGTTCCTGACTTCTTTCCTATTGATCAGTGGGACACTTTCTGCCACAGAGTGTTTTCTCACTTGGAGAACACTTACAAGAATAGCAGTATTCCTCAACGGAATCACTGACAAGAACGTGCATGAGGGGCTGGGGATTTAGCTCAGCGGCAAAAGCGCCTGCCTGGCAAGCGCAAGGTCGTGGGTTCGGTTCCCGGTACCGGAAAAAAAAAAAAAAAAAAAAAAAAAAAAAGAACGTGCATGAAAATCTCATTCCCTCGAAACCAATTCCTAGTGAGGGGCTGTATTTTCAAAGCAGGCAGCTACAGATACGAGTTTAAACAAACCTTTGTCCTCTGTCGGGTCTGATATCTATTTCCCTAGGGTCACAATTAAAAAGTGGTAAATGGATTCAGATGGCCTATATTACACACTTGATGGAGATTTCCATTTTCACACACAGGTCTTTGAACAGGACCAAGTCACATAACTTCCTTTATGCACACTGCAAAACACACACTGGGTCAAGGTAACCGAAACCTACTTTCATTGTTAAATTACTGTTTCTCATAGGCAATCAGGGTCCTGCAGATTATGACCTGCCACTGTAAAAATAGATGAACTTTAAAGTTAGTGTACATCTAAAACGTAGACCCAGAGCTCCATTTTTAGACACACCCTTTAATTTCTTGGTGTTGTCTACATTTTACTTCCATTTAAATTTAGCAAAGTAATTTTAGCTCTCCCTCCTTGGCTACCTTCAGTAGGTTTGCAATGTTTCAAACATGAAACATTGAATCCTCTTTCTCTGTCATACTAAAATGTTTGAAATAAAAGGTAAAGATAAAACAGGGAAACTTGGCCCCAGCTATTTTGAAGAAATGGTTCTGCCCAGGGTCCAGTCAATTGAGATTCCTGTTGTTGTTTGTTTACAGAATAAGTGCCTTGACTCTATTGTTAGTCATAAACTAACAATGTATAGTTTGCAGCTAATAAACTGACCCCCAGTAAGGGGGCCAGAAATACCAAGGCAGGTACCATCACACAAGGAACCTCAACAAGGTTGACAAGAAGCTCCTGGCAAACTGTGTGTGTCACCAAATTACTGCAGGGACTTTCAAAGGCCCTCACAACTCCAACCCTCACCACTGTCACCAAGTACCATGATCATGGGGAACTATGCCCAAAATATCCCAACGCTTCTGTTCCAATGTTTAGAGTCATTTCAAACTCAAAGGTACAGAGCATAAACCCAAACCGCATTTTGGAGAACTGGGCTCCCTAGGAAAGTCCAGGGATCCACACACATCAGGAGAAGAAAAAGAGTCCCTGCTACTCCTGCCTCCCTGCAAAACAAACCGCTTCGGAAAAAGTAAGGCAGTGACAAAAGATACCTTACTTAGAGACACCAGCTGCCCAAGTAACCAAGGTGCCTGGCAGCCTCACAGAGGGGGGTTTTGCTCACAACTTCCTTCGCATTCCAATCACTTTGGCCAAATCATGCTTCCCAGCAGCTTTAAGTCTCTTTAGAAACAGGTAAGCGTCCCTCTGTCAACACTTTCTGAGAGGAGCTCTAAGAAGGAGCAGGCAGCAGTGACACTGATTCAATGTGACAAAGTCTCCCCACCACTCCGGATCAGACGCCCCACGCTGACCTGCTATCGTTTTTCACAGGGGAACTGGAACAGATTTTAGACACATTAGCTCCTCTGTCTTATGAAGAAATAAACCTCCCTTTTAATTTTATTTTTGTCTTAAGATAACTAGCAAAAAAATCAGAGCTAATATTAATTCTAGGGAAAAAAGAAGTGTTGAAACTTCTCTATTACCTACTTACGATGCATGACACTATATTTAATATACACATAAAGCATAAGACTTTAGAATAGTACCTAAGTAAGGAGATACCTTACCTCTCACTTATATATCTAGTATTCCACTGGAATCCTTACCACAAGTAAAATGTCTGATTTTGTAAAATTGTAAAATCAACGAAGTTTTTATTTAGTAACAAAACAAACACGGAAAGTCGAGGAGGAGTTTACAAACTGGTGTGCACCACAGCCAGTCACACCATCTACCCAACAGTAAATGCTAGAACGTATCAGATAAAATAACAAATGTCAAATAATGTACCACGGTTGTAAGCACAATTTTTAAAAATAAAATGGAGAAATGGTGAAGCCACAAAGAGACATTTTAAGGGTTATTGAAATGTTTATGTTTGTTAACGCGTATCTCCCAAGAGAGATTACCCCTTTGCTAGTGGGGCATAATATCCAAAAGTCGTTAACACAAATCCAAGCTAGAATTTCCAAACTGCAAATAGCATTTGTGATATTGTGTGTAGGGCTCAGGGCCTTTCTTGAGAATCCTAAAACTTTAACAGCCCTAAGTTTGCACAGCCCATCTTGTTTCCACTGACGCTGCAATTTCAACAGCATGATTAATAAACTGACATTAGCGATTTGACACCCAGTGAGCTGATTTACCTGGTGGGTTTTATGTAGTTTCTTTCCCCTTCGGATGAAAACGCTTAGGGCTCAGGCCTGGCCCCCGACCTTGGAAAACGGGTCAGCAGAGCACGGCTAACACGGAATGTGACAGCTCTCCACCCGGGCTCTGAACTACTTACGAACAACTGGAGAAGCTCAAAAGCAGTCCCAGTGGTAAATAAACTCCACGCCCTATGTATGTCACTCAGGGACCCACACTGAAAGTTTTGTGAACTCCAGAAGTCAGACACATACGCAATGTGAAACCCGTGGAACACAATATGGTCTTCAGAAGAATAAACGGAATTATCTTTAGATCAACAAAGAATTGATGCAATCTACTTCTGCATTAGGTGCTTATGCCCTTCACGGGGCCGTCTAGTCTGCTCCGAACACAGCGTTTAAATCTTATAACTAACGCTCCTGTGCAGAGCTGCGCCTTTCCTACGACATCTGTACAATGTACAGTGGTGATAAATGGATGATGCGCTTCAGACAGAAACCAACAAATCCAGCTGATCGTTCATAACGCATATATAATACGTATAATTTTAAACATGCCACATCTTCCAATCAAGTTGGTAAACTGGAGGCACAGAAAGGTAACAGCTGCAGGCTGGGAGTTGGAAGACGAAAAGGCAGAGACAGAGGGGAGAGAAAAAGAGCCCTTGCCGGCCGGGGGCCTGGAGCTGGTGCTCAGGAGCGCACAGGAGGGCGCCTCCGCGGGCGACTCACGCGCGCATCCACTGCCCACGCGGCCCCAGCCAAGCCCCACACCTGGCCGCTACTGTGAGCCACGCGCGGGTTCCATTCAGTCCTCATTTCCGGGACAAACCACCTCCCGCTCCTCTGTCCCCGCAGGTTGCGCTCCTGGCCCTAGCCAATTTCCAGAGTCCCTTCTTCTCTCCATGCGCACCGGACCGCGGGCGCCCGGGCCCCACGCAGCCGCGCGCGGTCCCTCGGGTCCCGCCGTCGGAAGGACCCGGCCGAAGCGCGCGG